GAATTGAACCTGGGACCTTTCAGTCCCCAGGCCAACGCTTTATCCACTGAGCCAAACCAGTTAGGGCTATATTTTCTTTTTAAAAAATATTTTTTTGTTGATTTCAGAGAGGAAGGGAGAGGGAGAGAGAGACAGAGACATCGATGATGAGAGAGAATCACTGATCTGCTGCCTCTTGCTGTCTCCTGCATGCCCCCTGCACATCCCACACTGGGGATCAAGCCCGCAGCTCGGGCATGTGCCCCAACTGACTGGGAATCGAACCATGACCTCCTGGGTCATAGGCTGATGCTCAACGATTGAGCCACACCAGCCGGGGTATTATATTTTCTTAAGCTGTGATTTTATTTATTTCACTGGCCTTTTCAAAATTGTTTAGTGACTCCTTGTTGCTACTAGTATAAAATCAAATTTGGGTGTTAAGGTTCTCTGCATTGTCTTCAGCCTATATTTTCACTTATGCTAACCTTCTTTGTTTTCTGCCAGCTGTTGGTGACCAAAGATACTATGTGCTTCCGCCTCTTCCTGTGCTGTGGTTTTTATCCTACCAGAGTAATGTCAGGGCCTGCAGGCTATTTCCTCTGTCAGGAACCCTTTCCCCAGATATGTAATTGGCTTCTTGCTTTAGAACAGCGGTTCTCAACCTGTGGGTCGCGACCCCTTTGGGGGTCGAATGACCCTTTCACAGTGGTCGTCTAAATACATCCTGCATATCAGATATTTACATAACGATTCATAACAGTAGCAAAATTACAGTTATGAAGTAGCAACGAAAATAATTTTATGGTTGGGGGTCACCACAACATGAGGAACTGTATTAAAGGGTCGCAGCATTAGGAAGGTTGAGAACCACTGCTTTAGAAGTTTGTTCAAATGCTACATTAACAGTATTGTGTTCCCTGGCCATTGTATTTAAAATAGCATCCCATCTTTTTTCTAAGCACTTCCTATTCTTTTTTACCCACTTAATTTTGTTTTCTTCATAGTATTTATCAGAATCTGAGATCCTATACATTTTGTAACTTGTTTGTCTCCTTGTTTTGCTCCCCTGAATATATAGTTCAAAAGGGAAGGGAGTTTAATCTGTCTTAATTTCCTACATATAGAAAGTTCTTGGCACATAGTAAGCATTCAGCACATTTTTTATGACAATGAGTCAGTGAATGAGTGAATGAATAATTAGCTTTCTAAGTCTTTTCTGCTCATCCAACTCTCATTTATCTTTCCAGGCCCACTTCAAAGTTGCACCACATTCATGAAGCTGCCTTTGAATGAAGCTGTTTCCAGTTACTTCAAAGTAGCCCATCATGATTTTTTTTCCCTCTTTTGAACTTGTGGTATTTTCTTTTCAGTATGAGAGAATTTTCTAATAGATATAATTACACATGATTGGAGAAGGCTGCAAGATGGGAAAATTCTATGACTTAAAATGTTTAAAGAGTGACAGAATGACCCAGTCATTAAAGAAGACGAGAGTTGATATTGAGTAGTCTTCCTTTATCTATGGGGCATACATCCCCAAACCCCCTCGTGGATGTCTGAAACCAAAGATGTACCAAACCCTATATATGTTGTTTTTTTCCTGTACATACATACATACATACATACATACCTGTAATAAGTTTCATTTATAAATTAGGCACAGTAAGAGATTAACAATGATAACTAATAATAAAATAGAACATGTATAATAGTATACTGCAATAATGTTATGTGAATGTGGTTTCTCAAAATATCATATTATAATTACCCCTTATTTTTTGTTAATGGTTTGATATGACTTGTTTCAGGGGGATCCCTTGCTGAAGTCTTCATATAGGCTCAGTGCTTTCTGGAGCAACACTGCCCATCAGTTGGTACACATTTTCTTTTCATATTTTCTATACACAAATTTAATGCCTTTTCCATTTTAACCAAGCACTTATACACTGTGGCTGTAAATTATGCACTTGGAGGTGCAGCAGCAAAACTAGCATA